TGAAGGTGATTGAATGCATTTCTGACCTTTACAATGACTCGCAGTGGCCTATCGATGTATCGAGCCAGTGCTGCTATTCTCGCAGACAAGTCTGATACGAATTTGCCGAGCCCAGAAAGATGGAAGGCTTGTTGAGCCATGGGCGCGGGAACTAATTCTACGTGTGTTGCAGGGTGCCTCCGACCACTGCGCCACACGGGCCTTGATAGTAGTGAGAACAATACATTGGTTTCGAAATTTCTCGATTATTCTTGCATTTCGCTTCTTAACTCGATCACAGTAAAATATTCATTGAAAAACAGAACTAAATAAAGGAGAGAGTGTGAATCATTTATGACCTACGCGCATGATGGCAAATGGTCGGCTTGAGTAACATATGAGTCACTGCTTTTTGTCGTTTATTTTGTCACACAGAGGCTTTCTGCTAAAGTTCTAGTATTGATTCGATAGCCTACCTTGGCCAGATGTTATGTCGTGTGCCGGCCAAAGAGGACTATGTACTGTGCTACATAATTTATAATGAAACCTGTTACGTGGCCAAAGAGTCAAAGACTAGCTCACATCTACTTGGCATGAATTCTAGCAGATTTCAAGTGATAACAACTACATATCACATCTGTGATTTCTTATAACAGCCAAGACAACGTCTTCCTTTTTTTGACTACTGACAGCCAACTTCGATGAAACCACTTGAGGATGAAGACAGAGTTGCACTTTGTCCATAAAACTCAAGTAGTTGTTGGGTCATGAATTGACTAATCGGGGCCTTCTGCCCGTTGCTATAGTGGATCAGCGAAGCCATACATGCGTCTGTTATATGAGATTTATTGTTATTGACGGAATGCCATTTTCTCTCAGAAATGGGTTGAAATGAATATGCTGATATACCGACAACCAAAGGTTGAGAGTAATGTGGTCGGATTGTGACAAATTTTTTTCATCATTCATATATTTATATCACACGAGAGTTGGAAATGTAAAAGAATAAACATGAAAGGATATATAAGAGGTTTGAAAGGGTACGTCGTTTGCACAGTCTAAGAAATCACAGTGCTTAACTTTTCATTTACTACATTTTAATTTTTTATAGCAACGTATTACGTGAAATACAACTACAGGGTGTTACCCAATGCACCCTCTGCTTTTCCAGCTAGTCATTTACCCTAGCGTTGCTATCAGTAATCATCTATCACAACCAGAAAGGGTAATCGAGGGCTTTAAACTGGTCTGAGATCCGAGTTTTGCAAATATCTCAGCACCATTGCATTGCAACAAATGTTTTTTTCTCATTATTTGTTGTCGGTTTCAGTGAACTTACTCTTTTTTGTTTATGCTTGTTAACCGTTCTTCCGCAAAATTTGAAATTCTTTCTGGAAGGGTAACAAGGATTCCATCGGTTTACTTCCGCTGAGCATTCAGTGGAAGATAAAGTTTAATACGTTTGCTGCCGACGTGAATCAAGCCGTTCCAATTCAATTTTTGACAACTAGTTGATAGTAATCTCATTTTCAGACGTTATGGTGATCCATAGTTATCGTATGGGATGGGCGTATATAAACAAACACAAAAACACCGAAATATATGTCTTATATTTCCCAAAGCCTTGTTGAAGGATTACAGCAAAGTTGTTGAGTGGTGGGTAATTTTCTATCATCTCACACACCAGCTGATTTGATCATGTGGTTTGGAAAGACACACAAAAAACATAGAGGTTACGCAGGATAGGAGAAAAACAAAAACTTCTATAGAAAACCAGAAGAAAATCAAATTGTGGAGCGAAAATTATGCTAAAAGAAGGGGTTCATTTGCTGATAAAAGGAGCACACATTGGCGTGCTTCACCCATATAGGACCTATAAGTGCTCAGTACTAATTTAGCGCCATTGTTAATGTGTTAAAAGAGCGGTCTCAGAATGCGTTTATTTCTTTACCCTCTCAAATCAGTGAGTTGTCTTCTTAATTATTAGGTAAAGTCGCAATATTTGACGTTAGTAAGGACGGCATAGTGGTTAGTATCTTGAATAAAGCCTTTTTTTCCTATAAAAGTGAAGTGTTAGTATCCTGAAATAGTCCAGCCGTGCTTAGTTTTTATCCAATTTTTTTCGTTAAAAGTAAAGTATCAGTTCTGATGAAGGACAAGCAGGCAGTACTTGCCTAAGACAGACAAGTATTCGTTTTTTAATGCTAGGTATAAGTAGTATAGTATTAAATAAGTATTAGTATTAAGCAGAAACATTAGCAGACAAGTATTCGTTGATTGAGAGAAAATCATGTATATGCATATATATATATGTATATATATGCATATATATCTGTTTTTATGTATATATATAAATATATATATATAAAAAGTATACAACAACAGTTCACTTCTGAAGGTAATGAATTTTATAGCTAAAAAAAAACAAAGCCGAAATAATGGTGATGTGACGAGGAGAAGCATAGTAATAAATTAGACAATAATTCTTTTCATACTGTAGTAACCTAATTAAACGCTGTTTGCTCTTTAGTTTGTAGGGGGCTATCACACAATCTACTTCATATGCTGCAGCTCTTTTAATACTTAGAACAATAGTCTGGTCGGGATAAGTACTTGTTTTACACCTGTAATATTACCTCTCGGAAGACAGCTCACAATGATCGCGTAGCTTTTGTGATGACCAATCATTCCATCCGATTAGTGGTGGCACTGATATGATAACAGACAATATCCAAACCTGAAAAAAAAGTTACTAGCTAGATTGGTAGTACTGCTTTGAGTACTGAGTAGGCAGACATGAATGAGTTTCAATACACGCCTTTGTATTGAAATATTATATGTACTGGTTTTGTTTTTGAGTTTGTACGCAGCCTCATTTTACAAAACGCTAGAATATTTTTTTTTCATCAAACAAATAAGCCTGAAGACGAAGAGTCGGTGTATTGTGAAGTAGTTCATATTCGAGTGTAAATGTCCCGTAATGATGTTTAGCTGATAACCCTGTTTCACAAGAAGTCTAAGAAGAATTAGCGACGAAAGGATGTTCGAGTAGATGCATCTTTTGTTTTGCTGAGTACCACATTAAGCTAAACACCCTCTATGGTGTCAACAGTGCCCATGAAGGGACAATATTGATTCAACTACTGCAAGTACCACTGGTACTGCTGCTCCTACTAGCTCTTCGTATCTGCTGTATTAACTTCTCAGAGGCTATAAAACCTTGACATTACCACAGTAAGTTGCGCAGTATTAGCTGATAGATTTCAACGAGCAATAAGACGATAAAGGATAAAAATTTCGGTGTTGAGCAATGCCTTAGGGATACGCATGCATTCGATTTCATTAAGCATCGTTTGGAGGTGATTGAATGCATATCTGGCCTTTATTGACTAGCGGTAGCCTACCGATATATCGAGCCAGTGCTGCTATCCTCTCAGGCGGGTCTGGTACCAGTTTGCTGACCCTGGAGGGATAGAAGGCTTGGTGAGCCAGGGATGCCGGGATCGACCCTAGGCGCGTGTGGCAGGGCACCTCCGACCACTGTGCCACACGCGCCCCTCCAAGAGCAATAGTAAGCGGAAAAGGACCACCAATTATTTGTGTTTATTCAAATACCTTTATGTCCCATGTTTAACGTGAATCCTGATCGTCATGCGGCCGATGTGTTATCGGTTTAACGAAATTTTTTCTCTGAATTCCTTAAAAGGCCATACCAACGTGTTCCTCGCTCATTTTAAAAGCAGATGTTTGATCTTATGGATGTGTGGCTTACGATCTTGCACCATGATTACTTTCAGCATGGCGATGACTTTTGTCATTAAGTTACTCTTAGCAAGACTTTTTATTGAAAATGACGGACGTTTTCTCAGTTTGGGTGATGCTGGTAGGGGAATTAGCCTTTCGTTGTATATCGCTATTCGCGAGTAAGAACATCCTCGACAATTCAGCAGTAAAAGTGGTAAATATCTATCGTGTAAGATAATTCTTCTACTATTTATGTGCTTATGCATCTAGCAAGTTTTTTAGTACACTCACAGTTTAACCTTTTTTATGTGAAAGTATGGTGTGTTTGCCTTAGTATTTTCGTTATGAAAGAAACATAAAAGTGACCTAAAAAATAAGAAAATCCCTGTTATGTATTGATTTACAAGGATTGACGTTCATAATGTGGGAAAACGTGAAATGACTCTGATTAAACTAGCTATCTTTCTACGGACACGATGAAATTGCCCAGTTATGACGAATTCTTCGCCGAACCTTAATTTCTGTGAAATTGCCAGACACGCCAGAGTAACATTCGTAGCTAGAAAAATGCATACTGCTAAAGTAAGAATAGGACGCTGTAACTTGCTTTTCTTCAAAAATAACTTCCTTCGAGGTTAATGACTTAGTTACAAAATTACGAAAGCACTAATGATTTACATCTTCTAACAGGCAATAGGCGATATCTGGCAGTATTTGCTTTGTGATAAAACACTTTTTACGGCAGTAGTCATTTCGGAATAACATAAATTACCGTTATCCGAATACTAAGTACAGCATGTGGGTGAGCTTTTTATCTACATCAACTACGTTGTCAACTTAGCTGATACGTAACAAATATATTATTAGGAGCACATCTAGTGGCAGTCTTCAGAATCTCATCATATGATTTGGTTTAAGTATAGATAGAGTTCTTCCAGTTCAATTTAGGACTCATCTCTCAAAGTCATTTGCAAATGAGACTAGAATGATTCATCAAAAGGCAGGGAGGGATTGCCTCCACAAATAAGCGCTTCTCCAATTTACTTTCCAGAGAGCTGGTTATGCGTACTCTGTCTGGTCAACAACAGCAGTGAAAGACATAGGTCCTGACTTGAAAACATTATGCTTTTCGTGTCTTTGCGAATAAGTGGAGGCTCTTGGAGAAATTTTGACGCGTCATATGGAAGTGCAATGTTTTCCTGGTTCTGTTCAGTATGAAGGAAATCTACTGGGTGATTATGTTGCATAACATGAGTAAGTGGAAAGGGATATCTTATCTACTGTTCAAAAATAAATCCTCTTACCGTAAGTATTACCAAGCAGACAAAACGTGGTGTACGTTTTTGTGCGTAGTTTATGGGATCATGAATAGCGCAATATCTGCAAGCAATTCTCTAAGAAGGTTCAGTTTGTTATAAAAACGCTACATGCAGTCGAGCGCCTTAAAAAATGAACGGGAGAAATTTCGAACCTGTCAATTGCTATGGCGCATAAGTTCAATATTGAAGATGTGCACAAGAGAATATCAGCCGTTGTGAAAAATTGACAAATCGGGATTCCCAGCAACCAACGACCATCTGAAATACAATGAAAACTATAGTAATGACTAGGAATGGCAATTCTCAGCTGGTGCGATTATTCTCTCGAAAGCTTCTCCTACTGGGTTCTATGAAAATTTTTCACCGGCAGCTTATTTCCACCTGCTGTCTTCTGCGTTATAGTGCTCGGAACGTGAGAATAATGACACCTTAACTTTTTTTAACTGCTTACTGTTCCTTTTTAATGGCAAGGTAATGAACCAAGTACAATGATGACAACGAGTTGCAGGAATATGAGGACAACGAAGGACCTGCGAAAAAAAACTGCGATTTGTGTAAAAAACTGGAGAGTTTGTTATTGTGATGGAATGATGAGAGGAAGGGGAGTTTGAGTGAGTTTAGTGTTTCGTGTTGGAGATCAATGCTGAGCAAAAGTGTTTCTATGCAAGCTAATTGCTGTAATCGTTGATGATTACGGAACTCGTGACGGGTCTCGTCGACGACTTCTACTGAACAATTGTGAATTGGCCAACAAAGTATGACAGACGCTAAGTCGGAAATCATTAATAGACAGTGGAAAAACAGCCGAGAACTGAAAGGCAACAACAATATGATTGGAGTGCAAGGCAGAAATGTGATAAGTAGTCATGGTGACTCGAAACTCGATATCGGAAAACTATGCGTCGATTTTATAAAGCGGAATGCGACATGCTTAATGTGGACAACTCACAACTTTTCGGTGAGCTGCTAACCGTCACTGTTGATGAAGTAAGCCCAAAAATCTTCGGCAAAACACTTGAATTTGCAGTAACTTCTTATGTGATTCTTTACTAGAAAATGGCTTAGAAATGAAAAGCAAGTTATACACGAGTCACTTGCTCTTGTTTTTACAAGCAAAGTAACTTTATCCATTTTTGGATTCACTTTATCGTGAATGTGTGTACTAAATAATTATATCCTACAAAATTGCTTTCCAACAAAGATATGCTTCTAATAGTCCGACCCTACCTCTTGGGTGGGAACAGTTCATCGGCTAAAAAATAGAATGTTGTGTAAAAGTTCATAAAATAAATGGGATCCGTCATAAGAAATAAACGAGTGTATTTCGACTACAGTCATTCTAAGGGTCACTATTGTTATGAAAAAAAAACTATCCAATCATACCGCTATAGGATAAGACACAGCACTTGTTGACAAATTCGCTTCGAAAGGGAAACTACAAGGGAAAACATTTTCGAACTAACAACATAGAATTTAAGAAAAAACAGGCATGTTGATGTTCATAGGATTGCTCGTGAGGATTGGTAATTCATATACAAGGCATTCAAAAGTTGTTTCCGGTTAAGTGGGTAAATGATAAATGTGTTATGTTTCTTAGTAATGCTGCTGAGTTTAAACCTAGCAAATTTGAAGGAAAAGTCAATAAAATCGAGAGCGTAGTTAATGCAGAATATACAGCAGTGTGCTTAATATGAAAAACCGGCTAGGTAACACATTTGAACAGCATACGAAATGCTCCAGTGAATAGAATATGGAGCAGTGTGGCTACTAGTCGTCTGAAAATTCAAAGGATTGTTCGGTCTTTGTTGGATAAGGCGCACATGCATTAGAATGCATTCAGTGTTAAACAGATGAATGAATGAATGGACGTTTTGCTTATACAATGACTTCCAGTAGTTTGATGATAATGCATCATGTCAGCACGTTTTTCTATCTACCCAGACAAGTCAGATAGTGCGGAAATCTGTGAAAAGTAGAGCAATTCTGTACCTGCTAGAAATTTGACGACATGTAGCGGCATCACAAAAATCGCCACTGCTAAATCGGATGCGGCCAGTGAGACGAGGAAATAATTCTGAACTTTTTTTAGTGGTCGATAACTGAATACTGCAACAACGACCAATGTGTTTCCGACGATCGTCATCACAATAATCACCTGAACAACAACTTGTTGCGTTTCTTGTTTTTTTCTCTTTTTGCAGCAAAGCAAATGTCAGTTATCTTTAATATGTCAGCTATTAGTTTCTTCCACCAATCGATACGCACTGCTTTTAATTCTACTGTACCACTGGCGTTCACTGGCTTTTCATCACCTTTACAATCGTGTACTTTCTATCTTCCTCTCCTTATTCTCCCGTGCTTCTGCCTCTGGTTTCTCAGTTCTGCTGTCTCAATGTTTCTGATAAAGATTTTGCAAGGATTATGTCGCATTTATGTGGACTAAAGTGGAGCAGTAACTTGTTAATTGCCCACATTTTCGATGATCATTGATTTATATCGACTTTTTCGGAAAGCTTGTCTACTAATGAATCGACCTTATGGGAGGTAGAAAATAACGTTAGCAGCATTTTGCCTTATTTAGGGAATAAAAGCGCCTTTGTTCTAATTTGCTTTTGTTTTCGAAATTTATATAAATAAAATCATCAATAGAAGAGATATTAAAAACTGTTGTTGGCTGCTAATCAAAATCCAAATATTTGATGTAATGTGTTACGTGTCATTTGGAGTATTATTAAACTTGATTAACTGAAAAAACAACAATAAAATGACACTCTACGGAAATCCTAATTAATAAAAATCAGCTGATAGATTCCTCTTCGTATTCCACGGCAAGCTAAAGAAAAGCCCTTACAAAGAAGAAAACGATGTCGAAAAGCTCTGTAACGTAACTTAATAGATGAAGCATTAACGCGAAGTCCTTGTTTTCTTTTTAGCTAAGAGATGTGTAATTGTTCTATAGAATGCTAGTTTGATTCATGTTTTAATAGACTACGCATTCTTTTGCACACTTTTCAAACAATTCTTCGTCTAATAACTGACATAGCTCAAGAGTAAATTTGAAGTGCTTTGATAAACCTGAGGCATGCTTCAAACCCAGCGCCACGTTCCCACGTTATTGGGCGGGTGGCGCCGTCGACGAATTGCGTCATACGTCTCGTTGATCTCAGCCACGTAATAAAATATTCCCTTTAATTGCTAATTTATGACTTAATTAGAGTGTATTAGATTAGTCGATATTTCTCTTAAGATTAGTATTCTTCGCTGACCACATGCCAACAAAGAATAATTGGAGTGAGAAATTTAGAAAATACTGTAAGTCCTTTCAAATCACAGTTGACTTTTGTTCCTTGTGAGATTAGAGGTAATTTCGTGATTAGTATGTAAATCTAGAATACTATTGTCATCATTGGTATAACAACAGTTACATTCTGGTGTATTATTAAGCTATAAGAAAAAGTGGAATCGACGTTCAACACTAGTTTAGAGAAACACCCTACACTCGACTCCATTCATAGCATCGTTGATTTTATTGAATAGATACATGGCCTACGCAGTGGATTCCGAGGTTTATCGATGAATACAGTCGGTGTTTTACTCTTGTAGACAGGTGTGGTACCAATGTGTCAATCCCGGGTGAGGCGGAGAGAACCGAGAGTGCGGGACCTAACCAATGATCATTTGTGTTTTGTAGGGCACTTCTAGGCATTGTGAAAACATGAACATCGTCTTGATTTTATGTAAAGAATAAAAGCTGAAATTATAATATTTAAAATCTAAGTACGCAAATCTCCATAGCGCTTCAAATTTGAGTACTGGTCTCTATATCATAGAGCGAGCTGTATTTCTTTTTTCCTGCTTCTTTGCAGTGAGCCAGCTATAGGGTAGACTGGCACATTTGGTATAAATGAATAGATGACTATAATTATAGAAGACCTAGAAGATTCCCAACAAATCAGCCATTTTTGCCAATTGCGAAATTCTTCAAAAGTTTTCTTTTAGTAAGCTTGTTCTTGTGATTCTTGACGCTTAATGACGATTAATGAGAAAGATAACGATATAACGATTAATGAAAAAGAAGGTGAAAAAGATCGTGACAAACACGACGACAGTAATTAACGCGTGTTGTATTTATCCCTAAATGATATCTCATCAGTGCTAGTATCTCTTCTGAGTCATAAAGTATTTTTCAAGCGAAAAAACACGAGACTATGCATACCAAGTATGTTATTGTTCCCAGAATCAGTTCCACTGTCGGAATGATAGTGGACGTTTGAAGCGGTGTGTCAGTTGACGTAATGATGTCCGATGACATATTTATAATACTGTCTCGGATTGAGGATATGGTACGAAATACCATATCCTTAAATGGTGCGTTATTATTGCTTGTTGATCTAAATTAAGAATTCAGAATACGAAGTAACTGTCCACGTGGAGTTATATATGGTTCGTTCATATATAAATGGATTGCCTTCACGACTTATCGGTTGGTTAAGTAGACATACTTATACTACTCTATACCACATACTCTACTCTCTCTTCTATCAATTTACCTCAAGAACTGCTTCAAAAGCTAATGTCTCTTCCAGAAGCAACTTTTTTTTTCATCGCGAACACCTCTCGAGTCCGCTTTGATATCTCACAAAAGCTGATTTGTAGCAATTTTTGTACACTATTCAATTTATACTTGCTGTTATCAAGATGTAGAACGAAAAATTATTGACCGATTGCGGTTGACGTTGAAGTTAAAGTGAGGCGCAATTATCGAACGGATATCATAAGAAGGAACACTTGGTAGAAACGGTACGCAATGAGGCCAATAATTGAATTTTGTACAATGATGAGCTAAACTAATTTCTTTCATTCTTTTACTTCGGTGTGCATTGCTTAATTTTTCATAGAATTTCAACAGCGATTTCAATGTTCTCTTGGGATTTGAACTTATGATTCGCTGCTGTAAAAGGAATTCTATTTGGTAACGATGCGGCGAAGCTAGGAGTGACAACGATTCCACAAATTTATCACGTGAACTAGACTCTCGCTTTTTCTTCGGCCATAGGGGTCTCAACCTTCGAATTCCGCTTCATTACAGTAAAATTGAAGCTGAATTCCTGTCCAGGTGCAGTAATTCACCCTATTACATGTAGGTGAGACTCACACAATATCTCATAACTAAGACTGCTACGTTTCAACTCTCTTTTTTTAATGCCTTGCTCTATTCAGTAGTTCTACCTCTTTGTTTAGTGAGATTTCCACCATGGGCTTTGTTTATGAAGTGTGCTGTAGTTGTTATAGAAATCATGAGAAATTTTCACTTAATATGCTTGTTTCTTCTAGCTTTCAATGAATCAATTAACAAAAATGAACAAGCGGAGACGGGAAAGAAGCATAGTTTGAATCGAATTTGAACGTGAGAATACTGATTATGTAGCTCGTGGAAGGTGATATACGCCACGCACTTGAGTTTAATTCCAATCTAATTTCACATTTCGACTGTAGTCCTAAATAATTTCGTCATATTCGTCATATCAGAGTCGGAAGGAAAAAACACCTCACAATCATTTCTGAGGTGGGAAATTCCGGTGAACGAAGGATTTCGTGACTGAAGCGTACTTGGTGATGCCAAGATATAACGCTCCCCACACTCTACTTCACTGATTCAAGTAGTGTTATGATTCTTACTGGAAGGTTAACGAAAGAAACTGGGTTAGAGTCTTGCTGAGGAAAGTACGACAATGTATAAGCAAATTTATTGGCAACGTTGATGGTCTGGACTCGATTCTCATCTATTCAATTTAAAATGGAAAAAAAAGTAAGGAAACTGGAAGGTTGGATTTGATCAATACGCAAAAGCTTGTAAAACATTCACTTTCATACGTCATAGATTATATAAATCAGAGCTTATTATAACATGTATTTACCAGTTATTGACGTTTAATTTTCAGCATCAGTTTTGGAGTTATAGGAGTTATAATTGCTAAGTTCATTAAGAGGAAATGACTATCGCTTCATTGTTGATGATTAAAGTTCAGTGGAAGCGCTATTAACGAAGAACGAATAAAGATGTGAGCATATTGTCGGTCGTCCTTACGTTGCTCTATTAGAGTTAGAATTAAATCGTCTTCTTTAACTTTTTCAAAATGTTTGCAACGATGTTAAGAAAATCGCGAGAAATTTCGCCGATATATGCGGATCGATGAGATGAATACTCATTGTTTTCAATGGGAAGAACTTCGATAAAAATCAATTTAAACGTATGGACAGTGAAATTTGATGTGTTGTAAGGGGTTGTAACGAGTAGATCCAAGGGGCGATGGGGCGGTGTTTCAATAGAGAGATTATTTCCCAAACAAAAAAAGAAAGAATCTCGCTTTTTTTATTTATTGAGCACTACGTTCATGATGGTCTGAAAAGCAAACAGAGAAAAGGCAGAGAACTAATATGTGTGCGTCAAACAGCTGTTATATTCATGTTTCGAATGAATGGGAGCACTGAAAAAGATGCGATAGCACATCTTCAACAATAACACCACACTTGGATAAAGACGAAATTAACACGGCTTAGGTGGTTTTATCAATAAATGGATAAGGAAGAAGAAAACAATGGACGAATAAGTGCTAATGGATGAAGGAGTGAAAAGATCAGGAATTATAAATAAACTCATACGATATATCTCAGATTTGTAATGTTATAAGAGTTAATCCGTGACTAAAAAGCACATAGCTGTCCACTAAAGAGGAAATCATATCGACTCTGATTTTAGCTATAATATCTGTATTAGTTGCTTTGCTAGTATACGAAAGTGCTTTAGGGAATATAGTTGAAGACTTAAGAAAAAAACGAATGACTGATGCAAATGTGAAACATGGAATAATCTTATAACTAAGTATAATTAGAATCCATAGAGCATTGTGTACAAGTAGACGTTATTTAGTTTTGTTATAACCGTCTCACGAACTGAATTCGTCGGCGACAGATCTTCTTAATGGTGGCCTACGACTCCGCCTCTTCATAGTATCGCGCTCGTTCACAAACCTCGACGAGGTCCCAAAAATGGAACAATGGTAGACGCCCAGAGCATGGACATCAATAGAAGAGCCAGTAAACAGTAGCTTTTAGAGCGTTTATATCATTTCAATTGTCTCATCGAGTCAAATTAGATTCGTTGGGGGAAAAAAGAACGGAACAGTAGAGCATTTAGAAGCGTTACACGTTGCACTTTAGTCGATTGCTATGGTCAAAATGGTTAAGAAACCCATAGGAAGGTTTATGAAAGGACCGTTTAGTACAAATAAGTGTCCATAGTGGAGTGAGCGCAAGAATTTACTATACATAACAATAATCTATTCATGATATTATATTCATTCAGATTTATCTCGTTAATATTCAGCTTTATAACACATTTCGACATAAGTAGTTTTGGAGAGGAATTCATTGACACCCAGTAGTACGAACGAAGAAAAGTTACATTTGCTGACCTTACTGGTTTCTGAACTGTCAGTTCCAGTTGAACGCTGACGAGATCCTGAACTGTGAATCTCAACAACTGTGTGTTATGTGATATGAAATGTTCGTAAATCCATAAGCTTCTAACAATATGCCACAAAAAAATACTCCATATGTAGAAAGAATAGATCTTTGACTTCCAAAAACTCGTTGGATGTTGTCTTGAATACCGCTTGATTGGCGTATGTCTTCTTGCAACGGAACTTGTCCATACGTTTGAAAATATGGTAATTGTGGATACTGATAGTGTAAGATGAGCTGAGTGGCTTAAGCAAATTTGTGTTCCACATATAATTTAGGTTCTGTATCTCCACTTTCCAAACATGAGACCGAACAACGTCATCATGCACCAAAAACGGCGTTTTTCGGTTGATTAATGAAGGCTCGTTCTCGAATAACCACAGATGCACCAACACTAATTTTGATGTAGTTCATTTTTGCAGCCATACTTTCATCTGCGTCTAAAAAATCATTGGGGTGAAATGCCAGCCACTAACTATTAAACACCGACCAACATCTTTCTGGAACTCAAAGTATGCTTAGATACCAGTCATCCTAGTTTTAGCCGACAGAGTTAACATCATCCAAAAATGGTCCCTAATTACTCTAAGTAAACAATATTTGTCAGATTCTTATCACCACAGTTTGTTTCTCTTGTCACTGAGATCGTCTGAAATCTATCCTCGAATATTTTGACTTTTCGGGAGTTGTTAAGATATTGCGACGCCTTCGCAACTGACGCTTTAGAACTTCTGCACTAATTGCCAAAAATTGTTCAGCAGGTCCTCGTAAAACGACGTCGTCAATTTTGACGACGTCAACCGATAGCCTTGGATCTTCCACTATCTACATTTTTGAAGTTTTATCCCCAGGCTCAAAGTTATTGAAGCAATGACGACGAATGGTTCGTTCGTTGATGAAATTGATCCCAAACGGGGTGTTACCGTTCCGAGAAGCTGTTCCAACAGTACGTCAATTTGCTTACTGATACAAAAAAGGCGTGTAGGTGGAATACAGTTTTGAGGTAAAGAAACTGGCGAGCACGGGGTAAGGAAAAGTAAGCTATAGGCTTGGAAACACGCAATATTCGGGCTTTAAAAGATTGAAGCTAGCAAAACATCTCCAATACGTTTTGTGCTACGAAACAGGATACTTTATAATGAATAGCATATTATTAAGCAAGAGAATATTTGCATCGTTTGCTACAAGTCGTTGATGCGTAAAGATTTTTTGGAAACAAAAAACGTTTTTTACCATTATAACAATTTTATTAATAGAAATCCTTTCTACGAGAGGCAAGTCGTTGCTATGAACTGATAAAACTCTTGGCTGATGAAGAGGAAAAAGTTTTTATAGTAATAAGGAACAGAATTGACATTTTCCACAGGATTGGTGGAGAAAAACGTTCTTTCTAAGCAATGAGCAGATGTGGTAAAATAATTAGGGTGCGTTACTAGCGTGATTTAACTGTACTGATCGAAGGAGACACAACAAAATGTTGGCTATTGGTATGAATTCATTTTAAAGAATATGAATTATGATTTCTTTCACCGACGTTTCCAACCTAGCTACTTTCTAATCGCAAGGTAAAAACGAAAGCTAAACAGTGGCTTTAACAAGGTCCTACCCACACTCTGCTTCGCCAGCGTCTAAAGTCTATTCGCTCGATTTAGGGAAAAACTGAATAACTTCGGGCATCGTAATCCTACGTAGTTATACGAGGAGTCCTAATTTGATTGGACAGAAAAATGAAAGAAAAATACCGAGAATTCAAGCATGACCGTGAATTGTCTGAAAATGATTAGATTATTTTAACGAAAACGTTAAGCATAGTGGGAGCAATTTTCTGGAAAA